AACACTTCCCAAGCTCCACACCTCCTTAAAAATCATGGGACAAAGATTACAAATTCTTTTCTGTAGCTTCATAGTATCATAGAAGGATAGCATCAGAAGGGAGGCTTTAGATAGAGAAAACCTTGAAAATGAATGAAAGAGGAAAGGAAGACATTCTTTTCAAATATAACCCCCTTTTTAAAAAAAATGCCTGAATTACATTCTCATAGAGGAAAACGTAAAGTCAAACACAACTGCATTCAAGGGATTTCCTCTCACCAAATTGTCTCCGGTCCCTTAATTATGTTTCAGCCTCGCTGAGTACTTTGTTTACGGTCCCTAGAGCGGTGATTTGCATCCCTCTCTCTGGGTGGCTGTCGGTGGGGGCGGGCAGCTCTCTCAGTCCGACTCTGGCTGGGGAAGGTAAGGATCTTTGCCTTGTTCTTTGAAAGATCTAGGAGGGAAGTGCTGAATGCCAGTGAGGGTTCAGAGTGGGAGACATAGATATATAATAGTTTGTATATTGAAAGCTTTCAGAAAAGTTCTCCAAACTTAAAGGCGTTTCCTAAAAGTATGTGCTTTAGGAAAATCTAGACGAGATTTCTTCTCCCCTCTGAAAAGAAAAGACTTGCAGAAATCAGGCTGGTTGCTTTGTGGATGGAATTTTGCATTTGAGGGCAGGTGTCCTTGAAGGGATCCCCAGGAGTGTCTGCTAACTTAACAGGCATAGAGTGGGGGGAGGAATAGGTACTCAAAGGCATCAAGGATAGATCACTAGCAATTCTCTGAATTTCAATTTGAAGTCAGTTACAGCTGCATGTGTCCCGAGCTATAATAGTGGGTATCTTCAGATAGAATTTCCACCCTATCTCAAAACATTATACATCCTCAGATTTGCCAGTACAAATCATCAGTTGTCCGCTTAGACTCTGGAGAAGTGTATGTGTGTATCTAGGCAGAGGCACAGACCCTGCGGAGGAGAATTAGGGTGAGTGAGTCACCTGAAGTCTGACAAGGCTGAAGAAAGCTTTGCTATTTATTAGAAGGACAGACCTGCCCATGCTCTCAGGGCACAGATGAATTCACTGTACCTCATTATAGATTTAGCCAAGGATTCAACACGAAAAAAGGTGCCTCTGACGCCTCCCACAGGGTAATAGTTGAGCACATTTTCAACAGAATAAGGTGATACTCAGCTTTGGTGAGATAATCAACCTAATTTTTTTTGGGGGGGAGTGGCCTCTTCTAGAGATGAAGTCCTCTCCAAGGCCAGAGTTCACAGGTGGGAGACTGCCTTTTTAAGGAGCTTCTCAAGAACCCCCCTCTTGGGGGGGGGGCAGGTTTAGCAAGTTCTAAGATGCCCCAGTTCTAAGTATCCCTGATCTTCAACACCAAGGGACAGCATTCCTCACGGGTGATGGCTCTGCACCCCTGGGTGCCACATTTTAAGAACTGGGCAGTGCTTTTCAACTTTTTATTACCTCTTAACACACTGGAACCTCTAGTTACACTTCAGCACACAATATTATGTTGATCCAAAAAAAAAAAAAAGAGAGAGAGAGAGAGAAAAGGAATATATTTACTGTACTTTGAATTTCTTTCAAAAATAATTTAATGAATGATCTTTTAAAAATCCTCACGGCACACCTAAGATCCTCTCGTGGCATAGCAGTTCAAAATCACTGGCCTAGAGGCTGGTGGCCGAGACCCTCCAGGTACTTGCCATCGGCCGGGCTCCCCTAACTCAGCCAGGCTTGTTTTTTGGAATGAAGAAGTCTTATCTCTAGCTTTCATTCTAGACCAAAAAAAGGACTTCTGGTCCCTCTCTTTTTGGGACAGGATCACCATGGTGCTCTCACTACATGAGGCTGAAAGAATGTGCAATCCTGAAATGGAAGTAAAATGTCTAAGAACATCCAGGCCCTTTGCCGGCAGTCCGAGAAATCTGACAATTGGAAAGAAGGAAAACAAATCTCTTCCAAGATTTAATTTGGACTTGCAGAATCACTGTGTTCATTAAAAGGAGTCATTAACACTTGTACAGATTAAAAGATGGGGATGGATGACTTTGAGTTACAAAAGCATAGGACAAGCTTATTGCAATCTCCCAGTATTCATTTTTTTTTCCTTAAAAAGAAAATCTGGGGCTTCATGTATTTCAAGTACTTTAACATTTCAAATAGCTTGTCTGTAAGAAAGCATAAACCTACGAGGCCATTTATTGATGTGGGAAATAGACTTTTTATTGTTTGAGAGTGTGATGTGTCCATGTTATACATGTCTGAATGTTTAAAATACCTTCCCCCTTAAAGTGGGCATGGAACAGAAGCCCAGGGAGGTAGGGAGCTGACTGAATCAGAATCTCCATTTAACAAGCTCCCTGGGTGAGTTATGTCTCCATTATAAACTAGGATTCAAACTACGGGTTTCTTTCTTACTGTGTGACTTTTGTCAAATTACTTAACCTCTCTGAGCCTCTATTTACTTGAGACAGAGAATGAATGTTTAACTAGTGAGAATGAATGTTTAACATGTGGCATTTCTTAACACTGTGCCATCCCCATAGTAAGTGCTCTGCAAATGGCAGTGATGATGATGATGACAGCTTTGGCATTACCCAAGTTACTCCCAAACCTCTTAGCATGAGCAGTAAGCAATCCTGTTAAAATCAAGATGACTGGTTTTCCCCTGTAACCAAAAACATTTTCATCTCCCATTCTCATTCCTAAATGAATTAACATCAAACAAGAGGGATTTTAAGTGTCAGATGACCATCACACACGTTCCAGGGAAAACCTAGGAATATGAATTTTTGCTGGCTTAGAGGCTCAGTTCAGCTGCCCGAGGACTACACAGCTGTTCCTACTGCCCTAGAGTGTCTGTCCCCATCAGCTCTGTCCCCTCGGCTGGGCCTGCAACGCTGACTCTGGGCTTTTCTTATAAAAATGCCTGATGGACGAGAGGAAGATCTGGAGGTTGGCTGGGGAAAAAATGAGTCATTCCAATTCACAAAGCTGTCTGCTTAGTAAATGCTGCAGGAGAAATAAAAGTAAAAACCAGCTCCTGTCTCTAGAGACTCCGTAGAAATGATTTGGACTTATCATGTCACTGAGTGGAGTTGGGGGAAGCCAAAATCTGCTGGCAAGGAAAAGAACGAAGGAAAAAAAAATGTCAGGGAGGGGCAAGCCAGAGGGGGAGGGAATAAAAAGAGAGAGGGAGGGAAAGACAAGCGTCATTCAGGAACAGAGGTAGCCTGAGAGAACAGCCAGCTCTGGATCCCAAACCAAAGCATTTAGTGTTTTAACGACTTTTCTTTTCCCCTCAAGGAGATCCCTGACCTGTCATTTTATTGACAGCCAGGCGGTTACAGGCTCTTTCCCAGAAGTTGAACGAAGAAGAAGCTCGTGTTGCTGTCTCTTCTCTTCCAAGTCAAGTGGTTTCCCTGGAATGGATTGCAACTCTGCAAGGTATGTGCAGCCGTCTGGGGGTAGACCTTCATTTTCAGGTTAGTTCAATCATAGCTTTGGGGGGAAGATTTTCTTTTAAATATAATCTCAAATATCCTTTAACTAGCTTAGCTGGTATTTAGGGTATCACTGGGCGACGGTGATTCATTGGTTTGGTGATTTAAAAATGACCTGCCAAGGAGGTAGCTCTCATGTTTACTTTGGTTGCTCAGGGACTGAGTGATATTTTAACCTCTCGGGGTGGGGAAGAAGCAGTGAGGTTTGATTTAGGCTTGAGGTTGTTTTCAGGAGATGCTTAATATATTCAAACAACGAATCGCATTGAGATGGCCTCAAGTATCTCTTGGTAGCTGCGATTGCTCTGCTGTCCTCCAGGATGGAGGACAGCGACTTCACAGCAGACAAGATTTTCCTCTGATTTCCCCTAGACAGCATTGCAACCAGATGCTTTCAATCAAAAGTCTCACGTTCGACCCTGACATTTTGCAGGTTCCAAATATTTACAAAGGGGCATGGTGGCAAGTTGTAGATACCAGCGCCTAGAGGAAAAGGAATTTGTAAAATTTCAGTGACAGTCTAGCCTGCTTCTTTGTCTAGGCATGTCAGAGGATACATAATATCACAATTCCCTGTGGAGTTTAGTAGAACAGGTGTGAATTGATGGCTGACTGCCCTCAATTGATTGATTTTTGTGTTTAACATGACCAAGCCCATCAGCTGATTTTCTGTTTCATAAAGCACAGAGTGATAGCCTAGGAAGTTATTGAATTTGTTTTCCCCCTTATTTTTCTCTTTTCCTAACGGATCGGAGGAGATTGCAAATCACAAACCCTCACCTCCTTGTGAATGAATTCTCTGCTGAACTGACTGCCCACAGTGGGGGAATAAAAGGGCCCCAGGGCCCAGGGTGCACCGTGTGTGGTAGTAACACCTACACAGGTTGACTGGCAGTTGATGGAGAAGAACATCGCTTGCTGCTGGCTCCTCATCTTGACATTGATTTTGTGGGCAGCGCATGGGTGATGGTTTGGAAAGAATGCATGTTATGTCTGGCAAAACCGGCGGAGTCTAAGTTGTTGTGAGTTGTGGAACTAACTGTGCAAAATACTGTTTATCACATACTCTCTTCTTGAAATGAGGCTGTCCTTGGATTGGGATTTGGGCCTTTCTGTGTTTTTAGGGGAAAGAGAAGCAATAGACAAAGCTCGTAAAACGTTTTTGTAGCTCAGAATGAAACCCTGTGAGTGCTTCCTGCTTTTTATGTATGCCCTTTCTTTATGTTCCTCAGCTTCATCGTCCTTGCTTTTTTGACTCAATGCAAAGAGAAGGCAAGCAATTAGGAGAAAAAGTCTAGGTGATTTTTAAATGCATCCATGCCTCCCGGAAAGGAGGTGCTACCTCAGTCTGTTTTGGCTTTTGTTTTTAATTTCTGCTTGCAGGGTTTCTTCTGAGAGCCTTAGCTGACATCTCTTGTTTCCTCTGCAGCTTCCACCCTGGTGAGACTCTCCAGATCTAAGTCTGCAGACCCAGCTAGGAAGAAACCCCTTTGCAAAAATGACCGAAGAGCCCAGAAAAGAAATCCTGGGAGCCCCGAAGACTCCCATGCTGGTGACGACAGAGAAGACCCCCAAGGGCGAAGCTGGGGTCCCCACGGTGCCGCTGGTCAGTGAGATCCAGCTGATGGCCGCCACGGGGGGTGCTGAGCTCTCCTGCTACCGCTGCATCATCCCCTTTGCCGTGGTGGTCTTCATTGCCGGCGTCGTGGTTACTGCCGTGGCTTATAGCTTCAATTCCCACGGTTCCACCATCTCCATCTTTGGCCTGGTTGTTCTGTCGTCTGGACTTTTTTTATTAGCCTCTAGCGCCTTGTGCTGGAAGGTGAGACAAAGGAGCAAGAAAGCCAAGAGACGAGAGAGTCAGACGGTGCTTGTGGCGAACCAGAGAAGCTTGTTTGCTTGAGACTGAATGAGACCAAATGGGCTATGTGGCCCGAACGACCTGCTCTGATTTTGTCAGCCAGCTCATCCAGAACCATCTTGGGAGAGAACTGACTTGGTATTGGAGCAGACTAGAAGATTGGGGGGGTGGGGAGCGGGTAGAGGGATTTCTCCTTTGAGAGAAATGACTTGGGTCTTCTTCAATGACAAACTTAACCCTAAGGGCTGTGTCTAAGACTGAAAAATCCACTTTCTCTTTCCGTGAAACATTTCGGGGGTCATGGGAGGTGCACAGCATTAGATAGCATTGGGCTCACCCTGGAAAGTAGCCAAGAAAAGATGAGAGAATAACAGGATAGTCCTGGCACACCAGGCACCTGCCTCCGAAAGAAATAACCCAACCTCTTAAGAAGTTGTACATAGTGCATTTTGCCGAGGCTCTAAATTTCTTTGGACTTTGTATACATCTATGAAATTCTGTGATAATGCTTTTTTCAGTAAGTTCCTTTACTGACATCTCTTTTTATTTTTCCCTTTCAGTAACTCATCCCTGGTGGTACTTTATCTTGAAGAATAAACTAATATTTTGTATGTTTTAACATGGGACCGTTTTAGGTAATTGTAATTCTGTTTCAGAAAGAAAAAAAAATAGAAGTAAAAGTTATAGCTAACAGATGATGTTGGGGGTTAAATTAATATTAAGGTAATCCGGTATGGCACTTTGGATGATTTTTATATAAAGGTTAAATGTACATTTAATTCAAAATAATAAATACTCATTGCTGCTGAAATTTCTTAAATGGTTGTTTCTGCTGTCATTCTTTGTATTGCCGTTCCATGGGGCCCATTCACCTCTTGTCTCAAGTTCTCAGCTATATCTCTCATGAGTGGACATGATGCTTCTTAACTTTACTGGAAGATTCTATTATTTTTATCATTTTTTATTACTTCTGAAGAATAGTATTAATTATCTTAACTGTATTCTAAAACATTTCTTGCCCTCATCATTAGGAAATCAGTGTCTAAGGTCAGGAATCTTATAATATGCCATTAAATATGCATGACATTTATATTGAATTAGTCATTTATTATTGGCTTAACACATGTTTCTAAGAACCAACTAAATGCCAGACATCCTGTGGATTCTCAGGCTGCTTCGTTAGTTCTCATATAATGCAAATAAGGTTACTTATTGAATTCTTCTTGGACATGGAGCTATTCCCTAGCTAGGACTCTACCCCGTGACTCCAAGCAAAAATATGCCTTCTTCACATAGTTCAAACCAGATCATGAAGATAGGCATGAAGCTTTTCTTAAGACTTAGAAAACAAAACAAGCCTAGCGTAGCACTTTCATTGAAGGGCATTTTATCCAGGAATTGAATTAAACTTTCTGGCGCTAACTACACCCTGGTGCTCATGTGGCTTTGGTAAGTGGAAACACCTTAACGATTTGGAGGTCAGATAATGTCCTGTGCCGATGGACAAATGCACATATCCTCATAACCCAATGCAAGCCAGCGTACAGGGCTGCGCTCATTGCCAGGCAAGTGAGTCTGTGCTTTGACACGCCTCTTTTCTGCTCCAAGATACTCAAAGGCTCCCATTGTTTTGGGAAGAAATTTCTCAGGCAAGGTTCAAGGTTCTCCAGTCGGCTCCAAACAGATGTACCCAGCTTTCATTTGCATTCTAACCCCAAGAGGGCCTTGTCAGTTCGTCAGAGTAGGCGGGTCACCATTCCGGCACTAGGCTCTGGTTTTCTTGCCTCTGTATCCGGGCAGACTTGTGTTTTCCCTCTTTTGTATTCTATCCTCTCTCCATCTCAGTCTCCAAATCCTGCTTCTCATCAGCACCCCAGTTCAAATGCTGCCTCTTCCTAGAAGCCTTCCCTTTTACTGAGAGTAACTGCTCTTTCATGAGTCATCATTTGTTCTCTGATGGCGTCTCTATTTCCTATCATGTTGCTGGTATAGGTGTTTTATTCCCACTCCAAAGATCCTTGGCAGTGTGTGATATAACTTTCTGATAACTCCAATGTGATGCCTAATATGCCTTGCACAGATTAGATACTCAATAAATTTCTAATTGAGGTGCTAAATGAACCATAGTATGCAAAAGCAAAGAATAATTGTTTTATCCAGTTAAAAATTTGGTTCTCAACTCCCCCCCCCCATATAGGGCTTCCCACTCAATCATGCCTACACCGTGAGCACCGCGTCTAGGTGAGTACTTAGCCCTCTAAACTTCTCCAGCCAGACCTGTCTTTCAAAATGCTTGAAAAGCAAACGCGTTGACTATGACCAGCCACCAGGGGGCCTCATGCTGCTACCTGAGTCTCCAAAGACGTGCAGAACTATGAAAAGACTTAAACTATAAGGACTGAAATGGGATCATATCTCTCCTAGATCTGAGGAGGTGAAGGCGAATGTCTATTTAGCCTACCCTACCCTCCTCCCTAAGCCACTTCACCCTGGCTATCTTGGGGTTCTCCTAATCTATGGAATCACCAGTCATATTAAAGGTATATACGGTAGCAAAGCTGTAAGGCGCAGAGACAGTCCTACACACCATGAATCCCAACTCCCACAAGGAAACTATACCCAGACTTAAATTTTGAAGTTGCCCAGTTATAACCTGTCTTTACTGGGCAAGGTCTATCTCTACAAATGCTTCTATTATGTACAAAAAAGTGAGTGTTAAGCGAATACATATACAACATGCGTGCATAAATGTAGTAAAAAGATAAACTGGCCTCACCCCGGAACATCAGAAACTAGCTGTATCAGCTGGTGGGAGTCCCCATAAATCTACCCATTCTGTAGTACACGGAAACAACTTTTAACTTTATCCTGCATGGTTGGCTTCTGGCTGGGTGAGAACCACAGCTGCCCGGTGGCTCTGCTTTCCCCTCTAGGGAATACTACCTACAGAAGGCACTGAAGGGGGTCCTGTGGATGGTGCAGATGGATAAGGCCAGAAGATAAACCCAGGAGAGCCAGTGATCCAGTTCACAAATCCTCAAACTTACCTTTTTGCATCCTCTACCGAGAGAGAGAGAGAGAGAGGAGGGAGAGAGGGAGAGAGAGGATATAGATGGATAGATAGATGAGTGATAGATACCCTAGAATCCTGGAAGTCTTATAGTTTTGAACTTGAAAGATCTTGGTATCATAGCACTTACAGTATAACAGGACTCAACTGCACTTGTTATGACTCAACATTCTCCACAACACTCTCACTCTAGGAGCACAACTGTCCACTCTGCTTTGCAATTGAGAAACCTACAGTTCAGAGAGGTAAGTGGCTTGTTCACTCCAGATCTCCCAGCGAGCAAGGCCTAGCACTGGGACCAATAATGTGACCGCACATTATGGTTATCCCAGTGTTGTAGTTGCCCTTGGGCTGCTTTAACAACAACAAAACACAGAAGAAAACACAGACTTCTCGCAGTTCTGAAGGCCAGGCTGGGAAGGTGCCTGCAGAGTCAGTCTCAGGTGAAGGCTGCTTCCTCCTTCATAATCTCTCGCTGTGCCCTCATAGGGCAGAAGAGGCAAAGATCATCTCTGGGGCCCCTTATGTGGGTGCTGAACCCCCTTACGTGGATCTCACCCTCAGAACTAACTAATCTCCTCCCGAAAGCCCCATCTCCAAATCTCATCCCATGAGAGATGAGCTTTCAACCTAGGAATCTGGGCGGACATTCAGTCTATAGATCCAGTTATAGGCTTAGCCATTAACTGAAGATATTTCCAGAACGTCTCTTCAGAAGAAGAAGATAAATATTACAACACTTACTTTTGAAAATGTTTTATTACATCATGACATACACAGAAGGCAAACAGAGCAATGAATTTCTACAAACAGACCTAAGGAACTAACGCCTGGATCACTAACTTACTGAGCCTTGACAGCTAGGGAACTAACACCTAGTAACTAACTTACTGAGCCTTGACAGCTAGGGAACTAACACCTAGTAACTAACTTACTGAGCCTTGACAGCTCAGAAAATCTCCCTTTGTATCCAGCTCTCCTCCTGTCCTCAGGAGGAGCCACGATCTGACCTGTAACACACAGAAGAGCGATGCCAGTGTTTTAACTGCAAACTGGGCCCATATAGCATATATTCTTTGTGGCCAGCTTCTATGCAGCATTATGTTTAGGAGACGCTTCCATTTATTGAATGTGGTTATCAGTAAGTGGCTCATTCGCATGGCAGCGTCGAATTCCAATGTACAAATCCACCGTTCTTTACGTATCCTGTCTACTGTCCACAAGCATTTGCATCGTTTCTAGTTTCTAACAAGAGATTGTCCTTTGGGGAGCCAGCCTCTGAGATAGCCCCAGGACCCCCAACTCCTGGTATCCTGCATGTTTGTGCCGCCCCCTCTGCGCACCACCTCAGAGCTGGTTTGCGTGAGCAGCAGCGCGTGGCAGAAGTGATGGCATGTCGCTTCCAAGATTCGGTGATCAGAGGCATGCTGGTGTCTTCTGTCTCCCGCTTGCCCTCACTCTCCTCTCTCCACTCATTCTGAGGGAAGCCACCTGCCGTGTCATGAGGCTGCTCTCCAGAAAACAACCAGAGGAGAACTAAGCCCTGCCAGCGACACCTCACCCCAGCTTGGAGGTAGATGTTCTGCCAGTGGGGTCTTCCAACATGCCCTGCTGAGGGTCTGACTGTCTGAACCCTCGTGAGAGCCCCTCCACCACCTGCCAGCTAGGGTTGAATTGTGACTTTCCCAGGACTTAGGAACATTTGCCCTTTGTGGCTACGTCCTTTCACAAAAAAAAAAAAAAAAAAAAAAAAGAGAGAGAGAGAGAGGTTGTATCTCACTCCTTGGAGGAGAAGATTGTTCTGACAAGTGCTGTGGGCCGTAGGCACCATGCTGGCTGTGCCTAATGGATGACGTGGCCCTGCACCCAGCTCCCTTACCGCCACATTCCTGACCCTCTGAAACTGTGAGATAATAAATGTTTATTGTTTTAAGTGGCTAAGTTTGAGGGTAATTTGCTTTGCAGTGGTAGATATCTAACATTGTACCACTGCAAA